TATATATATATATATATATATATATATTTTAAACAATTTAACATTAGATAAGATTTAATCTGCTTAATAAAAATGGAGATTCACTTATTTAATGTAATTAATGTTGCTAGATTTAAAGGGTTATGTGCATATTTTTTTTTCTTTAATACAATTTTTATTCAAAAATAAATATTAGTTTAAATTTTAAAACGTTTCATGGTTGGGCAATGACGGGAGGAATTGGAGGTACGAATGACGTTGCCTGTGCAATGTCATATTTTTTTAATTTTATGCTACAAGTGCTGTAGGGATTAATACCCTGTTGGGGGAGTATATTTTTTATATTAATTTTTTTATATTTGATAATTACATTAAATTTTAATTAATTCATAATTGAATTACGTTAAATCTTAAAAAAAAAAATTTTTTACTGTTTTTTTTTATTTATAAAATTTAAACTTAAAATTTTATTTTAAAAAAATTAAATTCTTTTCATTTAAATCAACGTATCGTTAATCATATTAAAAAAGTATAGCTTCGCTTGAAACGTCTTCCTTCTTTATTAACAAATCTAGTGATTCACTAAAAAGGTAAAAAACCTAAAAATGGTTATTGAACACATCAATCATCACAAATAATCAAAGAGGCGAGGTCATATTTATTTATTAAATCACTTTGTCTTAAAATAAATAAATAAATAAATAATTTTTTTATTTAAAAAAAAAAAAAAAAAAAACCACCCCATCACACTAACATAGGTTACTGAATAATTTTCCTTTCTCCATCTATCAATTGTCACAGATCAAACAAGAGAATATCTTGTGAGCAAAAGATCTAGGCTTTGGCGACGGAGGGCACGTCAAGACAACAATCTCAGACTCATCTGCTCCCCTCTCCTTGGCTTTATGACACTCGTCACAGAATGCCAAGAAGGCCTCTTCTACATATTTTACTCCCTCTGCTACTGTCATATTTTCCACAAGTTTGTGCGGATAAATGTCCTTCTTGTGGTCTCCCTTCAAAACAGCGGCCAATTGCACCAGCTCTTCTTGAAACTCACTCAGTGGCGCCCTCTCGTTAGCCTCAATTACTTGCGTTTTTGTGACCTCCGCTAATGTCACTGCAAAAAACATATGCAGGGACGAAGGCAGACTTTAATGTTATGGGGACAAAATTTTATAAATTT